GTGTGTGTGGTGTGTGTGTGTGTGTGTGTGTGTGGTGTGTGTGTGTGTGTGTGTGTGGTGTGTGTGTGTGTGGTGTGTGTGTGTGTGGTGTGTGTGTGTGTGTGTGTGTGTGTGGTGTGTGTGTGTGTGGTGTGTGTGTGTGTGGTGTGTGTGTGTGTGGTGTGTGTGTGTGTGGTGTGTGTGTGTGTGTGTGTGGTGTGTGTGTGTGTGTGTGTGTGGTGTGTGTGTGTGTGTGTGGTGTGTGTGTGTGTGGTGTGTGTGTGTGTGTGTGTGGTGTGTGTGTGTGTGTGTGTGTGGTGTGTGTGTGTGTGTGTGTGTGTGTGTGTGTGTGTGGTGTGTGTGTGTGTGTGGTGTGTGTGTGTGTGTGTGTGTGTGTGTGTGTGGTGTGTGTGTGTGTGTGTGTGTGGTGTGTGTGTGTGTGTGTGTGTGTGGTGTGTGTGTGTGTGGTGTGTGTGTGTGTGTGTGTGTGTGTGGTGTGTGTGTGTGTGTGTGTGTGGTGTGTGTGTGTGTGGTGTGTGTGTGTGTGGTGTGTGTGTGTGTGGTGTGTGTGTGTGTGGTGTGTGTGTGTGTGTGTGTGTGTGGTGTGTGTGTGTGTGTGGTGTGTGTGTGTGTGTGGTGTGTGTGTGTGTGTGTGTGTGTGGTGTGTGTGTGTGTGTGTGGTGTGTGTGTGTGTGTGTGTGGTGTGTGTGTGTGTGGTGTGTGTGTGTGTGTGTGGTGTGTGTGTGTGTGTGTGTGGTGTGTGTGTGTGTGGTGTGTGTGTGTGTGGTGTGTGTGTGTGTGTGTGGTGTGTGTGTGTGTGTGTGTGTGTGTGTGTGTGTGTGTGTGTGTGTGTGTGTGTGTGTGTGTGTGTGTGGTGTGTGTGTGTGTGGTGTGTGTGTGTGTGGTGTGTGTGTGTGTGGTGTGTGTGTGTGTGGTGTGTGTGTGTGTGGTGTGTGTGTGTGTGGTGTGTGTGTGTGTGGTGTGTGTGTGTGTGGTGTGTGTGTGTGTGGTGTGTGTGTGTGTGTGTGTGTGTGGTGTGTGTGTGTGTGTGTGTGGTGTGTGTGTGTGTGTGTGTGTGTGTGTGTGTGGTGTGTGTGTGTGTGTGTGTGTGTGTGTGTGTGTGGTGTGTGTGCGTTTTTCCCGCCATTTCATATCAGACGCTATCAGAGCCATATATCGGCAGACATTTCACGAAAAACAGAAAGTGGGCACAGCATTTTCCCCATTTTTTATTTATTTCCCTGGCGGTATTGGGTTAAGGTGGGGACTATCTGTATATATAAATATATACAGATAGTCCCCTACTTAAGAACATTCTACTTATGCACATTCCATACATACGAACTTTTTTTTCAAATACTTAAGTCCAAAATATTATTTAAAAGATGCTAGTAAACTTCAAATTTCCCGGGCGCGAATGTAGTTAACGAGTCTGCCATGCCGCGGCGCCGCGGCTCTCACTCAGCTGTGGCATCACTCGCCTGCCCTCCCGCCTGCACTCCCGCCTCTCTTCACTGTGTCCTTGTGTACCAACAATTTTTGTGCCATAATTCGCTTTACTTGGCATCAATCCATCAAAAATGTCGGGTGTGAAGAGAAAGATAAACGGTGGAATTGCCAAGAAACGTCAGGGTATAACTTATGGATCTTATCAATCGCCAGCCAGTCGCCACTACAATATATTTTCTTTTTGAGTAAATTATGTTTCTACATTTAAAAGTTGTAAAAATGACCATCGAATAATATTAACCCTTTCACGAAGGGTGACGCCGTTAGTCGTAAAAAGAAACCGCACGAAAAGTACCGTGCGGCTGTACGCCGTGGCGGCGCCAAGCGCGGCAAGCCAGTGATTCGGCCTGATGTACCGAACTCACTCCCTCAAAGTCGACGCCTGCCATTGTTTGCCAGAACGTAGAGTTTTTTATTTGCCAGTCACCACTAAAATATATTTTCTTTTTGAATAAATTATGTTTCTACATTAATCAAATAATATTAAAAGCATCACATATTACAGGTACTGTATAAGGTATGTGTACTTATTGGAATTTATGTACAGGTATTCTTAATGTAAACAAAACTTTGAAACAATGGGGAAAAAGGCAATGGAGACCCGACTTTCGACATACGGTCAAATCGACTTCCGAACAGCCTCTCGGTCCCCATTTTGTCCATAAGTTGGGAACTTACTGTATATATATAAAATATATATATAAATTTATATATATATATATATTCTATATATTTTATATATATATATTCTATATATATAGTGGAGATTAGGCTTCTATAACTTATTGCACCTATTGTCCAATACCTTGATTTTGGGAAATTCTCCTTTTAATTTGTCGATGTCAATAATAACAAATAGTGTCAGTATCAATAGCACTAGAAGAAGAAAAAAATTCAACTATTCAAGAAACAGAGAAATCGGGTGAAGTTATATAAAGCCTATGATTAAGTCCTTGGTGGTTGGGCACTTGTTGGGCCATCTGTGCGCAATAATCTTCACATAAAACTACAG